CTACTGCGAAGTAATTGATCCCAAACCTTTTTACACAAATAAATAGGAATACCCCACCCCTAACTCCTTCTTGCTTAGGTTCAAGCAAAAGTCCTCATCTACGTTTCAGTATTCCCATTTTCCCCTTGATTCCTTTGAACTCCCCTCATTTCTAACCAGCGTGCGCTAGAATTCCCGTTATGTGGCTTCCTTCGCGTCCAGCGGTGTCTTAACATGACCAGAGGCGCCGGTCATCCTTTTTTTTTGAAACTGCCCCTGAAATGACAGGAAAGTTGAAATCGAGCGGAACTGCAAAGAAAGGCTGTATTTAAAAACTGTCTGATCATGTTGTTCCAGAGGAGAACATGCTCTACGCCGCTATCCATCAGGTGAAGAGCGTTGTATCGCTTGCAAACTCTGCGAGGCTATTTGTCCTGCTCAGGTTGGTAGTTATTTTTGTGAAATTTCGCTACACCGTAACTTCATATCGAGTGTTTTCTGATGCGTTTCATTTCCAGGCAATTACGATCGAAGCAGAAACTCGTCCAGATGGCAGTCGGCGTACCACTCGATACGATATAGATATGACCAAGTGTGTTTGTGCCCCTTTCACATTTTCGGCGACCCTTCGTGGGCGCGGGCTTCATTCCGAAAATACTATTCTGATGAATATTTGAAGGTGTATCTACTGTGGGCTCTGCCAAGAAGCTTGCCCTGTCGACGCCATTGTTGAGGGGCCAAATTTCGAGTACTCAACCGAGACTCATGAAGAGCTGCTTTACAACAAGGTCTACTTCTGAAGCCTTCTGTTCTTTTACTCTTTCAGAAGTGCAAAAGAGTTGTTACTATCTCAAGAAAGCTGCGTTATGAGCAAAAGTGGGACCCAGAAGTCTTGAACCCACATTTCTCGCTGGCCGTGCGAGCGCGCTATCCGAGGTTCGAGTCTCTCCCGGAGTCTGACTTTTGACCACACTCAGCATTCTTGTGAAACATTCCAAGCGCCAATTACATCGTTAAACAGCAGTTATCGTGCCGAAACAAATTTGAAAGTCTTTTTTTAGGAAAAATTACTGACGAATGGTGATCGATGGGAACCGGAATTAGCCGCAAATATCCAAGCAGAATTCTTGTATCGATAAAGCTAGTAGTTAGAGAGTTGTATCGGTAGAAGTCGTGCCGTGAATAGATTGGATTCCACTTATAATGAACATAGTCTATCGTTCTAGGCAATACAGCTGGGATAAAGATTTTATATTATTTGATTACTTCATGGCTCTGTGTTGTTCGCATCAGCTTTTACTTGAGTTGTGTTTATTACCAACTTTTCATATTTACATTGTCACATTTTTTTTTATAATTAGAAGCAAGCATCATGACTGTGTCACCGATGGTCACTGAAGAGATGACTGACGATTTGCGGGAGATGTTCGCTCGTACCCGCAAGAGTCCGATATCACTTTTCTTGGAAATGTACATGCAGGTGTTCAAGTGAGTATCTCTGCTACTCTCTGGTTTTCTATCAATCTTATTTTTTCTACCGAAATTTTTTAGGACGACACCTGACGTTATGGTAGAGACCATCCATGGCGAAGAAAAGGGGACGTGAGTTTTTTTGTTCATACGTTTTTTCTTTAAATGGTTCTCTTAGCTGTTTGAAGCAAGCCAGTGGCAGTGATGTTCAGTTACAAACCAGCAGTCGCCAGTGACTTTCCATGAAAGAAAAAAAAAATTGCGGTTTAACACCTAAAGGACCCTCTAGCAGCTTCAATATACAGTTTCACCGGACCAGCTCATCTTATGTTAGCGAAGCGGTATCCTGCCGCCTGGCTCGCTACTCGTTTCTTCGCGTAATTCAATGCTAATACCAACTGACAATTAAAATAAACACGCTGTAAAACGTGAACTATGGCAGGAAGGTGCGTTCTAGTTTGATGGGTGAGACAACTAGGGAGGCGTCAGAACTGCCGCTTGTAAACGCCGCTGCGTCTTCTTTACTTACCATGGGATCGCGAATGTGGGACAGTCTTAGAGACTGAGGACCAGACTACTTGTGAAAGGAAGGAGTCTATGAATTAGGTGAGCAGAAGGACTGTCTTTGAAGCTATCAGAACTGGTAATGTGAAATTAGGTGAGCGGAAGTACTGTTTCGAGGGCATGAGACTGTGCTCATAGTTTGTTATGGGAGAGTAGGAGAATCAGCGATTCGACCTTTCAGAGGAATGCGGTATGAAGGAAGGGGTAGGTACGATCGCTAGTGATCTGAAAAGTGAAGGAGGACGGGGCCCTTTCTTGGGACGTCAGCTCACTAGCGACCAGATCCGCCCGGTATCCATCCACTCACTCTGTATGTATTCTTTCAGAACGTTGAGTCGTCGATTCCCAAAGTCCGATACATATACGTTCCTTTGCTAAAAAGTTAAATTGCCGAATCTCTCAGTCTCCTATTCTCCCGTCGCAAACCAGGAACCCATGCCTTTATTCCGAGTTTCGCGTGGAGTTTTATTCTTTCTTCGCTACCGTTAACTACATCTCCTATCCCGGTTACGGGGAAGTCGTGGATGCGTACCTCATTTGAGTGTGGCACCGCCCCTGCTTCTTGTGAGATACCTTCGTTTCGGAACAGCTGTAACCATGTCTTTTCCAAGCAAAACGCAGGGCAACAGTTGTCTTTAATGGAGGTTTCCCACGAAATATCATACTGCATGTTCAAAGGACGCCAAGCCCTCCCCCCTCCTCCCTTGGGGATACGGGGCGTACCTATAATTAGCACGGATCAACTTCAGTATCGCCACTTGGCTAATGCTCTTTACTTGCAGGTTTCTCTTCCTGATGTCGGTCCAGGTAGGAAACGTCATGGTGAGAGGTGCACCGCATCGTACCAAGAAAATTGCGAAGGCGGACTGCTTCCTCAAGGGTATCAAGGTAGGGAAAGAAAGATTCTTTGAAAAGTGTGACATCGTAGTATTTCCATTCTTTTAGTGTACACCTTATCGTTCGTGTTTACTTTCTGTTTGCCGAAGTTATCGTGAGGTAGGCTCACGAGTCATGTCCTTACATTGTTCGCCACTCGGATGAACGTAACATTTCCGATATCTTGAAGAGCAGCTTTAGGAAAACTATACTGAGACTTGAATACGTCAGACTCTCGAGTAGCATCTCCGAGGCAGTCTCCACACTTTTGAGGATTTACGATTCGGCACGACGGAAGAGAAATCACATC